CTATAAATGCATGAATTCCTGACAATTACAGAACATCTTAGGTATTTCCAGTTTATGTATTGTATTGGTCCTTATTATTGACACTTTTGAAAGGACAAGTTACAACTGTAAACTTAATCTTGAGTCAAATTACCAGAAAGCTTTCCCAGGGTGCTTTTGGCATTCTGTAAAGCAGGCAATACCCTATCGATACAGATCCTCTCCCCTTCTCCAAACACAACCAAGATTTTGTGTTTTCAAAGTGTCATAGTCACATAAAAAATACATTAAGCACTGGATAAAAATAGCTAAACTTTTAAATTGTTTCCTGTAATTGTATTTTTTCCCTTTTGAACTTGTAGATATGAACTTGAAGATAGACATTTACGCCTGAAGCAAAGTTACTCACTGTGAACAAGGAAGCAAAAATCTTTCCACATCAGCAACAGAGTCAGCTTTGTGAAGCCTTCTGCATCATATTCCACCACACCACTATCAACAAAAAATACAAAAAAATGAATACAATTTTTATCTACCTTTCATTCTAATACTGAATGATAAATATGCAAATTCTGTATTACAGTGACTGGTTTTTCGTTTGTTTGTACAGAATCTTCCACTATTTGCTTTATTTATTAACAGTTACAATTTTATAGCTAAATGAAAATTAAATTTTTAATCTCAATAATATTTTCATTTATGCTGTGGTATTGGAGTTTCTTACCTGATTACAGGCCATGTTCAGTTTATATAAACACACTTCAGAATGAAAGGAGACCTGCTAATGTATCTGCAGTACTAAACTGATAAAAACTGTACACACACAAATTCCCTCTATGTACTCAGATTAAGATAATTTATTAACTCTGTAGTAATTGACAGGGTAAAATTGAAAATGCGCAGGCTGAGAAGAGTTTAAATTTGAAAATTCAGAAGAGTATATCCAAAAAAAGCAAAGGACAAGAGCATACAAAAAATTTAATATAGCAAACTTGTTCAGTAGACGAAGTAAAAGTTTCATACATCAGGAGTCGGTATTCCTTACAAGTCTCAAGCAGTATCAGGACTCATGAACCACTTTGTAAGTGAAATAAAATCATAGGCACACCTAGGCCATTTCTATACTGCAGTTTTCTCAGAAGAAAAAGAAATACCTTGTTTTCATAAGGACTGAGCTTGCATCAACTCTATTCATCTGTCCAATTCAAGTATTGTTTCTATCTATAGTTGTATAAAATTTGGGTGCATCCTAGAAGCCACCTATCTTCCTGCCCTCACTTGAGAGACCTGAGATTCAAAGGGCTCCCAAACATTCACATCATTTGGCATCATCACTTGGAAATGCACCACTTCCCTGTCCTCACACCTCAGTCACTGCCTATTACTGTAAGACCCCTCCAGCCATTTATTCAGAAATTAGCACAATTCTTTTGCACATGATGAAAATGCCTACTGTCCTTTCCCCTTCATCAGCTATTTTCTAGTAAAATCAGATTGGCAACTGACACAGAAGTGAAGTAACGCTGAACTTCATTCCAGTACTTCTACAGAGAGACAATCTTTACACATAATTTTGTGAAAAATGACCAGATTTCATCTTTTCCAGTGGACAGCAGTCACATAACCAAAGACCATGTACAGAAAACATCACTTCCCCCCTTGCTACAGAAAATAACGCAGCAAAAGAAAACTTACGTTCCAAAGTGACTCAGGAAAGCTGCAATATACTCTCTTCTCTTATGGTACCCCTGAATAACATATTGTACCTTAAAAAAGAAACAATCAATCAAATCCAGAGCTATAAAAACATTTTAAAAAGCCAATGCTCCTTATTTGTCATATATCCCTTGTGAAGGAAGATCTATGTTTGACATGGTAGGAATTCTAAATCCTACATTTAGTTTGCATGATTTCCCTAAAGAAACCTAAAATGCCTTTAAAACAAACAGTGGATCTTGCACGCAGAAAATGGTGTAAAGAAATCTGTTCACTCACTTCTAAGTGAAACTTAGTCTTTCATGATATATTGAAGCACAGTTTAACTGCAAAAGATAAAGAGTGAAGAAAACTGCTCAACCTTGCCTCGCTGAAGTTTGAGAAGGAACTCACAATAGGCAAATGATAATTACCTGAACTGACAGTTGGTTAACTGTCACAATTACATTCTGGTTATAAAATAAAGTAAAAAATATATTTCACAACAGATCTTCTGTGTTTTCTGAAAACTGCACCTCCAACACAATCTTCCTAACGCTAAGCTGTCTCAGTGGTTTCATGCTGACTCAGGGGGCCACCTGCTCAACTGCGAGCATCAATTTCTGAGGCATCCTGGGTTTTGAAAGACTTCATCCTGGCACAGACAAAATCCACAACGCTAAACTTGGGAGACTTAAGGCAAAATTCTCCTTGCACCATGTATGTTTTCTTATTGATTTGCCCAGGATTACTTAGCAGAAGAGTGTGAACAGGGTTCGATCCATAACAGAAATCGTGCATGTGTTGTCAGGCTGCAAGAGCATCTGGTTTACAATTGGTTACTTCAAGTACTTACAGTATGGTTCCATATATGACTTCTTGTGTAAATCCTTTTGCCTTCTAGAATGAAAACTAACATTTTAAAAACCTTTTCCCCCACTGAACATGAAAAGAACAGGAAGAATATTTTTCTTGGCTATACTAATACTAGAATTCCTTGGCTGGCAAGTGCTTTCCTAAATTTTTTGAAATAGCCTTGATACACTCATTGCTGAGAGCTATCTTGCACTCTTTAAAGTTAAATTCCATTTATAAATTTAGACTTATTTAATTTTAGAAAAAACTATGACTATTTTGAAGGCTTTGTGTAGGATCTGAAATGTTATTTTGGGAAAAGGAAAACATATGATAAGTTTGCTTAAGGGATTTTGTTTAAGAAAGGATAAAAACAGTCCTGTGTACTTGCAGATTTTAAAAACAGAAAGTAATTTTAACAGCAAACCACAACAAAAACAACTCTAAAGATAGATTCCAATATAATTATGGAAACACATTTTGAAGAACCCTCTCTAAAAGATAAAATTATTTTCCTCATTTGGACAATTGAAGGTAAAAATAATATACAAATAGGAGGTCTGTAATAAGTAGACTGCAAGATGTTGGCCTCTAAGCTTTCTTTTGAAAATTACACTTCAATAATGGAGAAGCTTTCAGAATACTATACCGACTCTTCTTTGTTTAAACAGTAAGCTAACAAGAACACCTTTTCAGCAACCTTAAGTAGCTATTACTGTATAAACATAAAAGTAGATTGCTGATTCAGTTCATTTGGATGAAACATCCGAGAAGAAAATCACTGAAAGTACTCAAAACCTACAATGATGACTATGGTATTAGAACTTAGATATCTTCCAACTGAAAAAATAATATGCAAACTACACATTTGTATTTACTAGCAGAATAGTATGCTACAATGCAGTATTGTATGATACAATAACATTTTATACAAAATCGTAACATGTCACAATAAGAAAAAACCACTCTGGGATTTGAGCCAAAACAGGCTTCTTTACCTAAGAGAGTCATTATATTCAATGCTCTGCGTAGGTGCCCAACTCTTATCAAGAAGGTTTTCTTTGTGTAGTTCATCTTAAGTATGTCCTGCTTGGACTGTCTGGCAGAAGAAAAACTACGTCTATGGAAATGCTGTAGTGTGTTACTGCAATACAGCAGAGCACGTAAGGGAAAGGAAAACTGCCTTACTTACCTTGTTTGTCAGCAACTGGCATACTTGGGGTACATAGTCGATAAGACAACCTCCACCAGGAAAGGCTGGGATGTGAAGGGCAGATGATCCTCCAAGAGCACTAGAAACAGAAGTTAATTTAACAGTGCATTACATGTACAGTTCCTGGGATTTGAAAGTGATTTCTACACTCTCCTCTTTCCC